GTGCTTGGGGAGGAGCATCCTTCCACGCTGACCAGCATGGGCAACCTGGCGTCGACGTACAGGAATCAAGGCCGGTGGAAGGAGGCCGAAGAGCTGGAGGTGCAAGTGATGGAGGCGAGAAAGAGGGTGCTTGGGGAGGAGCATCCAGACACGCTTCTAAGCATTAGCAATTTTGCCTTCACGCTGCAGACCCAAGCTCGTCAAAAGGAGGCTTTTGCACTGATGGAAAGATGCTTCCTCCTGCGCCAGCAGATCCTTGGCGAGCAACATCCTGATACACAGTCGTCGCTGGACACGCTGGCTAGCTGGCGAGCGGATTGTAGTGACGAACTTTCGTGACGTCACCTCTAGTGTTGTGTAATGTAGATCTCAGTGCTTGATACTATAAATCGCATAGTTCCAGTAGCTTGTGAATCTCAAAGGTATGCAACTTAGTAATGCAGTAGCTAATTACTCGGATTTTGCGCAAGCTATAGAACAGATGCGTATTGCGCCTGTCTGTATTAAAGTGCACCGGGAAAAACTCGAGCGGCCGGAAGAAAGGTGTGCCGTTACACCGTGCGTCCCGGCACGCTTGGACAGACATTAATGTGCTTTGCACAGCCTCAGGCTGACGGCTGACGGCTAACGGCTGGATAGCTCAACTTAGTTGTACGAATGACATAAGTAAATTACAGCGATCGGCAGTCTTAGAGATTAATCTGCTCTAGCCGAATTTGGAAGGTCTTCGATGAGAAGTACCGACCGGGGTGGCGAGTTTGCATGAACATGCGCGCTTCGCCAGCCATAGGACTGGTATTGATTACTTGGCATCATTCTAAGTCTTTGAGGGCCCTATGGACCTGTATTTTGGTAATATAGAGTCGAAGAGGTATTGTGGTTGTGGTATATGGAGAAGACACAAGATCGCTAAGAAAGAGAGCCTCGCACGCCTCAGGCTAAAAGGCGAGGGTAGGATCGTATTTCCCAGGCCAGGCAGAGCGCAGAGTATCTTGAGAAGGTACAAAAATTATTCCGGTATAGCTATGGTGGGAGCCAGTTCTTATTGGGGAAAAACCATTGTCTAAAGTCGAGGTACCTGTGCTTTGTCTCGCCTCACCGTGCGTCTCGCGACCCAGGGAAGTAGGTTATGACCTACTCCTTATAAGCGATATTGAGTTGGCTTGGGTGCCTCCGAATTGTGCGATTTTTGCTGCTAAAATGGAGGAATGCAACACAACAACTTTAGAGCTTTAAAAGATGTACGACGTAAAAGAGACTTTTGTCTACCGTGGATCCACCCGATTATACACCCTACTTTCCCGCTCCCATATCTTTTCTCTAGCTACTAACAAACAAATTTGCTCTCTTTTGAACATATTCCGCAGCTTTCAATGCTTCTACCTCATTATTCTTTTCACCGCAAAAGGCTGTAATGTTGAAATGATTTCCGTGCTGTTCTTATGATCTGACAGCCTCATTTAAATTTGATTTAGACAACCTTTGGTTCTGTTTAACTGACTCAAGTGCACTTGCCATTGGGTGGCGTATATGTCAGCTAAGAACGGACAAATGATCCAACTCTGTGGCCTGTTTCTCGTCAGGCATGTGGTGGCACACCTACGACCTTACTCGGTATTCTTAACACTATCATCTTTACTTAGAGGTACTATAGAGTTTACGGCCTCGGTTATGTAACATCCGCTAGTGTTGAGCATTAAAAGGTGAGTTAGGATATACATAAAGGAAAACAGACCCTATGGTGCTGTGGTCATCGTGAGTAGCTGAATGTTACCAGTTACCAGCTTCTCGTACCAACCTGATACCTGTACCATCCCATGCCTTTCCGCTTCTCAAACTAATTTATGGCCTGCATAAGTACTTGGCTCGATCACCGCAGCCTATTCTCTGTAATGGTTCAGACACCGACTTATTTCCCACTGTACCGGCACATCGCACTATACCATTCATGAGCCAAGGCCTGCTTAGGGTTCTTTACGGATAGGTACCCAAGCTTGAGCATTGAAAATCCGATGCGAAGGACCCTTTTTCAGGCTCCAGAACGACTGTAGTGCTTGTAGGAAAGTGGCCAGATCTTTCTTTGCCGTGACTACAGTCATCAATGCGGCCCTCCAAGATCGAGACACAATCCAGCTGTAAAATGAGCATTAGAATCTGTAAATGGAAGGATGGATGTGAGAATCTCATGAGTTTGAAAAGCACAGTGATCGGTTCGAGGTACTATTTTTTACGCGTGGAATCTTGTCGAAGCCCCATTGATCGTAAGGCTGCGAAAAGTAAAAATTTGATTGGATCGAGGTATTTTGCGCCCAGCTTGTCGAACCAGGTAGGATTGCGGTACCGAATCAAACCGTGGTCAATGACCCCCGTGTTTACCCGATCTCTTCACTTCTTCAGCACTTCTTGCTCCTTCAGGGAACCTTTCATCTTTCCATAGAGCCAAAGATTTTTAGCATGCTTGGATTTAGCGGCACTTCGCAAGGACTCCGCCATGCGAGAGTCTACGAGGTTGTGGTTTGTGAGCTTGTTTTTGGCGGAAGAGGTGGACGTGTGTGGGTAGCATATAGCGATCGAATAAGAGTGAGGAGACTCTTACTTTACACTTCCGGATGGGCACTGACGTCTGGTCCTGCTTCAACGAGCAGGATGACTGCTCGGGGGCGAGAGGTGAGGACGCACACTGCGATGCCGCCACCCACATTGATGAAATCTGCCATTGTCATAGCGATTGAGCTGCCACTCCCCCTGACCCTGATCTTGACAAAAGTCTGTCGAACGATACTTAGGAATGATGCAGGATGCCCGCCGATATTTTTAGAGATAACCATTGAACTCTCCGTGACGAGTATGCGAACAAACTTTATTTCGCGTAGGAAAACACACCAAGAACACACCAAGAAGCACAACCTAGTACAGCCAAATTATGCCTGGCGTAGTGCTGGCATAGCTACATAAAAGCGCCCGCAGGTTGGAGTTCAGCATAGACTCGGAAGCCAAGTTGCGGCGTAGGTAGTTAAGTTGGCCTCGAATGAGGGTGGGGGCTGAACCCAGGAGCTATGGCGGGTTGACCTCCTCGTCATTGCCAAGCGTTCGGCACCTTACACCTGCGGCTTTCGTTAAATGGAAGGTGTCCTTCACATGTCAGCAACGAACGAAAACGTATAGTAAAAGTGGTGAGGCGGTAACACAATGTGATAGATTGGAGCGCAATGCGATTTGAATAGATATCTTTATTTTCCTTTCCAGCCTCAACGCCGGCTGATGCAATATACACGCAATAAATTTTACCAATTCTACATTAGGAGCTCGCTTTTCCAGCTACGCTCCACACCTCCGACCACTGCAAGGGCACAACTTGTGCTCTTTTTCCTTCTCTTTTGCTCGGCGCCGAACGGGACTCGCGCTTAAAAAGGGGGCAGCCAGAACTGATATCCGCCGTTCTTCTGTCGGAAGACGCTTAGGAGGAAGCTGTACATGCCGAGGAGGACAGCGCTCCAGAGGAAGACGGCGAACTGCTGGGCGCGGGGATCGGCGATGCGGGGCACCTTGAGCGCGAGGGAGATGGTAGCGAAGGAAAGGACACCGTCTGTCTGAAATTAGCTATTGACCTCATTCCATCCTCAGGATAGGACTTACAGATAGCCGCAACGATCTGCGACTCGAGACCAAACTGATTACTGAAGCCGCCAGCAAAGTAGCTCAATCCACCCTTGCCGTCTCCAGAGACATAGGGTACCTTGCGAATGTGGTTAAACATGTGGCCGCTAGTGAAGAGCAGCACAGCAATGAGACTGAAAGCAGCCCAGATGTTGCGGTTTTGCAGAATCGGGACAACGTAGGGCGATGCAACAGCAACAAAGGTGATTCCACCTAGCACGGCGGTCGAGACGGTGATGATCTTAACGTAATTGATGGGACGTGAGACGGAAGGCTTGGGAGCGTCAGCAGGGAGCTGGCGCGCAACCCAAGCTTGGATTTGCTCGGCGGATTGCGGTCTGCATATTGTTAGTATCTGAAAGATTCTCGGGAGCGCGGGAGAATTACCCGTTGGTAAAGTCGAAGCGGACGGGCTGCGAGTCAACCTTCGCATTGGGGCCCACGGTGGGGTGGAAGTAGAGCAGGATCGGGGCGGTTTGAAGCATCAACTGCGGACCATCAGTACATGGACCCCAATCCCTGATATGAAGATTCATACCGACTGGAACGTGTTCTTTCCATCCACAAAGTCCAGCGTGCCAAAGACCAGCCTGCTCTTCCCCTCTCTGTCGCCCTTCGCCCAGCTCTTCCCCAGCAGATCCCATTCCGGCTGGAACTCGCGGCACAAGACACACCCAAATCGAGTCTCCAAAGCAGTCAGCAGCACGGCGATGGAGTAGTCCCGGGGCGCCTTAGTCAATTGGGTGTAGCTGGCATCGTCGAGCTTGAGCGGGCCGGAGGACGACTTGGAGCGGAAGTCGGCGAAGCGGTCGCCCGACGACTTCTTGGCAGCAATCGCCGTGAATGGCAGCAGCGAGGCCGTGAGGAGCTGTAGCCAGCGCATTGTGGGCGTGCGGGTGGAAATGTGGCAGATTGGGAGCTCTGCTCTGCTTGAGGTCGAAGACGATAGCTTGGGGAACGTGTCCTCGCGCTGGGGTGGAGGGCTACGTAATCAGCCTAAGCGAGCTGCAGGGATCAGCCATGTACGCGGATGCTGCGTCCAGAAAACACCTGGGCGGCAATGGACACGGTCAATCAGTAGAGGACATGTTTGTGGCGTTGGTGCATTCATTTCCAATGTCCCAGTGCGAGAAACCCTCACACTTGCATATGTTTGTGGCGTGGGGAGAAGAAACCCCACTCTCCTCTGGCGGTGCCTGGTTTCTTGGCAACGGCCGTTGTTTTGTTTACGACGCGTCGGCCAGCGAACTTCAGCCCCTCCATCCCATCTTCCTACCCGCTCTGCATTGCATTCTCGCCATGGCTGTCGACATGCAAGTAGATTATGACTATGAGATAAAAGACGTGAGCCATCTGGAGTGTATTCCGCAGGACGAGATTGTACTAACATGTCGTAGTTGAAGCACTCGCTACGAACGGCGGGCCTGGAGCTCAGCCTCGAGCGCAGCAAGCACTCGGTGGAACTGGTAGCGAAGGACGAAGACATCAGGAAGCTGCGAGTCAGCCAGTGCTTGCTGCAGGACGAGAACGACGACCTGCACGAGCAGCTGGAAGAGGAACAGGCGCGTTCGGATGGGCTCGAGAACGACCTCAATGAAGCGCTTGCCCAGCTCGACGAGCAAGCGGCTGCTGCGGAGCTAGCGCTAAACCAGATCCGCACCCAGTCGCGGGAAGTCGCGAACCTAAAGGTGTGTAGCTTAGTCCGCACAATCAACCTCTTTGTCTAACACAAACAGGCTGAGCTCAAAGCAATGGAAAATGTCACCTCCGACTCGAATAAGATTCTCTCGGAGAAGCTCGCCCTCACCCGCGAGATATCGTCGCTCCGCCCCGAGGTCGAACACCTGCGTGCCCAAGTCGAATCCAACACCGGCTTGCTTGCCGAGAAGCTTTCGCTGCAGCGACAATTAACCACCGCTCAGGTGGAACTCGAGAATGAGAAACGTACATCAGCCCGTGTCCTCGCGAAGCAGGGGAAAAGGATGGAGCAGGACGACGAGCTTCGAGGACAGCTAGAGGAGATTCGCAACGAGCTCGCCAAGGAGAAGAAGGACCGCTTGAAAGCCGAGGCTGCATTAGCCAAGGCAGAAGAGGCGACGGAGCAGGTCCAGGCCGATCTGGAGGCGCAGCAACAAGCAACGGAGCGTGCGCAAGCCAAGCTCGACAAGGCCGGGAAGAAAGAAGCTCAAAAGGCCAGCAAGCGGGACGAGGAACGCGATGCCGAGATCGAGCAGCTACGTGAGGAAGTGGCACGCGAGAAGAGGGCTCGTCTAGCTGCGGAGAAGGCAAATGCGAAGAGTAGCGTGCGTGATGCACAGTTGGAGGAACTTCAGCAACAACTCGACCTGGAGAAGCGCGAACGCCAGAAACTTGAGAAGGCCAGCAAGAAGGGCCAACAGAGCGGCCAACAATCCGATGGCAAAGCAGACGATCTGAAGACGGAGCTGGACACGGAGAAGCGCGAACGCAAGCAGCAGGAGAAAGAATACACCAAGACTCTCTCCGACCTACAAGCCAAGAACACCATTCTCGATGACAAGCTGAATGCATTCCGCGAGAAGCTTCGCTCCACCAAGGAGAAGCTCAAGCAGAAAGAGGAGGAGCTGGAACGCGCATCTCGGGCTCAGACTGCTCCACCTGCCAAAGCCGCCCGTGAAACTTCCGTCAAGCCCGCAAAGAACATCCGGAAGCGCATGGCTGCTTCTGTCGAACCCGAGACCAACCTCGGCACGCCAGGAAATGGTGTACCAGCGAAGAAGACCAAACGCGGGACCTTCGCGACAGCACTGGGCGACACGTCCAACTTTTCGCTCACGCCGTTTTTGAACCGTACCGCCGTCGGTGCGCCAGGCGAGACGATTGTGGAAGAGGACGAAGACGAAGATGCAGATGACGCGACACCCACGACATTGGTGGCCAACAAGGCGGCAGCACCACCACCCATGATCAAGGCCCTTGCACCTTCTGCGTCCAACAAAGCGAACGCTAAGCCTGGAGCCCGAAAGAAGACGCCCGCGCCCATCCTTGACGTGGTTGCCGAAGAAGCCTCTCAGCTCTCCTCCAAGGATAACTCGGAGAACTTGCTGCCCGCCGTTACCGTGCCGCTGAAGACCACTGATGGTCCGTCCAAAGAGCCTACGAAGTCCAAGCTAGTGCCCAAGGTCAAGCCCCGCAAGTCGCTCATGTCGTTTGCAACCTTCATGGATGAGCCTGCCGCGGAGAAGAAAAAGAAGCGCAAGCTGGGGACGAGTGGACTTGGGAAGACTTTGTTCGACGACGATGAAGACGCTGAGGAGGAAGGCACGGCCAAGCCAAAGAGTAGCAAGGGTCTCTTTGCTGCGAGGGCGCTGGGGAAGGCGGGTTTGGGCAAGGGCAGGCCGATCAGTGGGGGCTACAACATGATGTCCGATGAAGGCTTCACGTTCTCGCCGCTCAAGAAAGACAGGAGGGCTGCCGGTGCTGGCGCGAGTTTCTTGAAGTGAGACATGCTGTGAGCAAGCCATCATTTGGGCACGTCTCGTGCATCAGGCGCAGGCACAGGTCATGATGGAAAATCGAATGTAGGCGTTTGTGCACTCTGGCATTTTTAGGAGCTTCTGGTATACACTGATATTTTATTTTGACTTTGCTTACGGTATTCTGGCTTCACTGGCCTCTCATCGCACTTGTCGGTCCCTGGACCCTAGACGGCGGACGGGACCCACAACGCGCGCCCAGGCTGAACCCCTGCACGAACCGCGTGCCCTTGTCGTCCGCTGCCACACGCCCGCGTGTTTCAGCCTCAGCTCTGCTGTACGCGAAACGCCGTTCCGTTGGCTGGACTCCGAGGCAGCGATTTTCTTTCACGCTGGTCATCATCCTCGTCTTTCGCCCTTTGAGCCAGCATTGCTCATTCCACCACTCGCCCGCGACATTTTTGCGCCAGCGCAGCCAGTGCGACCACCCACCTCCGCATTGATTACCCCGCGTTCACGAGCGAGAGGAAAGCACGAGCACACGACATCGATATAAAGCACGCGGCGGGCAGCAACCAAGACGAATACAACAAAATGGGCGCAATAGGAAACCTCATTCCGCTCGTCATCCTCTTTGCCGTAGTTGCGGGAATGGGATGGATCGGTTACCAAGTTCGTCTCTCCTCCAACCCTTTTCACCTCGACGCAGCATCCCGCAATCTTGTCCACACCATCAAGCCCCCAGGTCTTCGTTCTCTTAGCTGACACTTGCTCTCCCAGATCTACCTCTACTCCAACGAGCTCGCCGAACGCGGCGTCCGCAAGATGGAAAAGAAGAACGTCGTCTTCACCAAGGACGGCGCGAAGGTGGCCGTCAAGGAGGTGCGCACCGAGGACTATGCAGATCGCACGCAGAAGGCGTTTGTAAAGACATGGAATGCGGCGCACGAGGGGACGGGTAGTGGCGCGGAGAAGAGACCCGGTGTGGGGAGGACGAGGACGAAGTAGTGAAGGGACGGGACGGCCAGACACAGAGGAGATGGCGCCCGAGAGGGATGCGCATCAGAGTTTGGGGGAGGATGGATGTATACCATGGGCCTTCATTTGGGTCGTATTCGAGGGAGAGCTGGATATAGGCATGTGCTGTCATAATTGGATGAATACAGCATCAGCATGAGCAGCGGCATCAGCATCAGCAGTGGCATCAGCAGCAGCGGCATCATTAGCAGCGTCAGCATCGACACGGGTAGTCCCACAGAATGTCTAGTGCAAGGAGCCTTTTTGTTTAGCTCTGCTCTTTCACGGCACTGCTACTATATGATCAGTAATCGCTACTTTTGGACATACGTACGGAATCATCTTCGACGTATGGGATGAACTAGTTCTCGCCTCGTCTATCGCGATACCACTCCCGAATCGTGGCACAATGCGCTTGTAAGGGTGCTTAGCGACTGGGGTGCCTATTTCTCCATGCTGGCTCACTTTCCACTTCCTCAACCCTTTTCAACTTCAAGCTATCAGCCACTGAACAATCATCTGCTGCCACAGCCCACAAAATCAGCGGCAGTAAGATCAGAGCGTCCATGCCGCACACTTGCCTCAATATCACTAACAGCCAGACTGTTGTTTCCTGGCGACCGTAAGCATAGCTTTTGCTCGACCCTTGTCCGTACGGGACAACGTTTCTAACCTCAATGCGTGCTTACCTCACCGCTCTCTACACGCTACTTCCCCTTCCAGCAACCCATCCACTTTAACTCTGTTCCCTGACCATCCAGATGAATATACGACTCTTGCGCCTCGCGTCTCGCACCTCGCGCCTCGCACCTCGCGCCTCGCACCTCGGACTTCATCTGAATCCCAGCCATGCTCAGCACGACCTACTGAATCCTTCACTCGTCGGTAATGTCCAGCAGCACCCCTGCACTTCCTCGCTATACCAGTTCAAAGGCTTTGTTTCGACCGTGTCGCTGGGGGGGGGGGGGGGGACATGGTAAATTATACTCGACCTGCTGGTGTATTATACTCGACCTGCTGGTATATTATACTCGACCTGCTGGTATATTATACTCGACCTGCTGGTATATTATACTCGACCTGCTGGTATATTATA